ACCTCCAGGGTGTAATTGCGCCTCATGCTCTGGTAGCTGAGCCAGGCCTCCCCTCGGGCGCGCTCGTCCATGTTGAGGCTGCCGCAGAGCTCCTCGTAGCGCTGCCGCGTCGCCCGCTCCGCCGCCAGGGCCGCCTCAGCCGCCAGGAGGGCGGCGGACGCTGCTTCGTCTTCTTCTTCCTCCTCCTCCTCTCCTTCCTCGACGCCTCGCTTCTCCTCACGGCCGGCCGCGGGGTCTGCGCCGCCGCCTTCCTCCTCCTCTTCCTCCTCCCCGCCTCGGGTGTCCGAGGGCGGCGAGGCGGAGCCCTTTCTGAGGGGGGCCGCCGCCACCGCTACCACCGCCTCGTCCTCGCCGCCTTCCTCCTCCTCGCCGCCGCTTCCCCCCAACATCGCCACTTCCCTCACGGGCACCGGAGCCGCCTGAGGGGAGCCACCCACGCCGCTTCTGCGCCTGCGCCGCGTTGTTTTCCGTCTCCCCCCTTCGCCCCGCCCACCGAGCCCGAAGCCCCGCCCCCTCTTGTTTTTTGAACGGCCTCAACCGCGGCCGCGTTCGAATCCAAACAACCCTCGTCGTGCTCGGCCCCGCCCCCCCTCCCCAGGTGCGCAGCGGATTGGATCCGGGACGGAGCGCCGAGACCAATCGCAGCGCCCAAGAAGGGACGGAGGAGGGGAGGGGGAATGAGTCGAAGGAAGGGAAAGAATAGGAGGGACTACGATTCCCATAAAGCCTTGCGCGGGTTAAAGGGATGGGTGGGCAAGACTTCCGGTAAGAATATATAAATTGAGACTCTAGGTCGCTCCTAAGGGGTCTGGCAAAAGAATCGTCATCCTTATCAGGCGAAGCCCCCAAGACAAATAAAGGCAAAATCCTTGCAGCACCTGAAAAACTTACTGTGTTTTCAAATGGGAGCTTTTCTTGCAATAAGCAAATACTAAGGTCCTGGATGCATATTAGATCAGGGGTACAAAACTCAAAACGGGTTGTACTACAGTGGAAAAGAATGGTACCATTAACTCCTGGAGCTTCCACTGTTGCATGAACTAGTGCAGGTGTCGGATGATGCCAACATGCACCCCTACATACTGTTTGACCACAGCTTCCCCAAGGCCAGTGTCGGGAAAGCGGCTGTTCCTCTGTAGGGCTACATGTTTCCCTGTTTCCTGTAGAGAAAATGGTTGCAGCATTTAATATTGATCAACTTCATAAAAATATTTCTGCCTACAGTATTTTTATACAAAGCCTTATGGATTTATCCCTACGGCCAAGAGTGTTTTGTAAAATACAAATCTGCAGGAAATCAAGAAAATTATTCATGGATGGATGCCCCCAATAGTAATTAGCTTAAACATATCAAAATTACCGTTAAAATTACTTATTCTCAACTGCATTTTGTAAACAACCAACAGGCATTTTTAATGTACTGAGGCCAACATCATAGGTTGTCAAAGAATATGTTTAATAAAAAATAATTAAACTTCCATTTGCTCTATAGAACATCATAGAAAGTAATTCAATAAATTACAAATGACTTTTAAGACGCTTTTCCAACTACAAGAAAGCAAATTCAGACTACACAGAACACAACTGGCAAATATTGCAAAATATCCGAAAGAAAAAAACAGGACTAAGACGGATCATGAAGGCTGAAACAAGGGATAGAAATACAAGGCAATAAACAGCAAATGTTCTTTTAGTCACTATCCACGTACACTTCTTCACCATCTCGGATATCTTTTGTACTGAAATTTCAACAGTAATGAAATTCTGATGAAGGCTCCTTATAACCCTCAAATTTACGCAGCCATACTTGCATATTGTTTAACTGACAGAGCTACATATTTCTCGTACGTTGACCGATACCGATTTTAAAAAAACAACCAAAACAAAACTTTACTTCATATTCAAATCTGTATCAGCCACACACTGTAACTGTAAAATTGCCTTATTACAGAGAAAGAAGTTCACTAGAATGGTAAGCAAATTCACTTGACCATAATTAGGAAAATACTTTATTTCATAAATTTATTAAAAATTATGTTTAGGATTTCTTCTGGGGGGGAGTATGTAGGGATGATGGTGCAAAGTGATGATATTGTTGAAATACTCAATTGACTAAGTCAACAACTGTGTTTGGAAAACTTTGGCTATATCATGGATACATACAAGATAAACAAAAGTGCTATATTACAAAGGGCAAAATATTAACTATGTAATACATCCTTTCATTATGAAGAATTGCTACCCCTTTTCTTGTGGCATGTTTTGACTATTGCTAAGACACTGTATGAAGAGCCAAACAAGTCATACTATTCAAGGAAGTGGGGAAGGGGAATACGATAACCAGCACAATCCAAATCATACTTTATAGTGTAATTACATGTAATACTGCTTTCTAGTCAAGGGGGTTAATTATTTTGCATGTACAAACTTTATTTTTATTGGTAAAGTTCTCGGTAAAAAAAAACAACACAGTATTTTTACTGTACAAGCAAGCAACAGAACCATATCAAAATACAGATTTTGTTAAATTATTCCCTTTTGGAAAAGGTTTGTCATTGACTGTCAACCAGTATTTTTATATGTTCGATAAATATTTAGCTATTCTTGGACCACAAGGTGAGATGAATACAATCTCATACCTAATCTCAGTTAGTTCCACTGTATGGTGTGAATTTGTAATTCTACCATAACAAGAGTAATAGCAGCTTCAGCAGAGCAAGGAATCATATCACGCACCAAATGTTGATTTTATGTAGCAAGATTCTAAGGATCTGTATTTAAACAGATGCTTTTTAAGCACTGTAACTATCATGGTTTCATGGTATACATTTTCTCACATTATCATTGAAAGTGCTTTAACTTCTTGGGCAACGCAGTGTTAATTATAATTAACTGACGATACCCTAAACCTTGATTTGGGGTAACATTTTTCTTTATAGTTCGATTCAAACCTGTAGAGAAATATGAACGTTTTAAACATGTCTACATTTCCCCTTACCATTATTAACTGGTAACTACAGGAGGTTACATGAAATAAACAAACACAAAATAGAAATCTAGACAAACAAAGTAATCAAGCCATTTTCACAAGGACCAAATCCTTATACATGAAGTATGCTGTGTTGAAAGTGGCACTTTTAAGTCATTTCAGCTTACAGATACAGCTCCTCAACAACATGAAGGCTGTAGAAGGAGCAATTGTTTTTAGAATAAAATCGGTATTCATTGTGTTAAAGATACCTAGGAAAGGGATTTTTCTGTGTGTCAAAATTCCCTTTGCTACTGAAGAGTGCAACTGGTAATGGTTATTTCCCTTGCCCAATAAACATACACAGGATGCCTTTAGAAAGCAAAGCAGAATATGAAAACAAATAGAGAAACTAATGTAAACTTCCTAAACTAACTCAGCTGAGGTAACAAGTAGCCAATTTTATTGGCTGAATGGGAAAATTTTCTTTTAAACATAGTTGTACCTGAATTGGAAACATCAGCAGTGCATCACAACACTAGAGCATTTTCATGTAAATTAAAGCAATGGATGGTGATGTAGATTCTACAGCTTTCATGACATTCATTAGCTGCCCAAATTATTGCTGAGTTTTGATCTGTAAATTATAAGTGTCAAGGAGGCTGTAAAACTATATTCAGATTAAATCAATAATGCACATAAAGAATCGTGTTCACTGCAAATATATTAAATATACAGCTCTCACTATGCATTTTTTAAAAAAAATTAACCCCCCCAACCAAAAATTATAATGCCTTTTGCTGTAATTCTTTTTACACAATTGTGTATCTGATAGTACATACAAGTTCAGAAATGTATGAACTTCAAGAAATATTACATGCAAAACGTCTTTGAAAGCAATTTGCACTTCTAAACAAATACTGAAATGTTCGGTCAGTAAATTATTGATGCACTCACTCAACACTGGGTTATTTACAGCAAAGTAATTAAAGAATAAATTCAAAAATCAGTTTATAATTTAAGTGCAAAGTCTTGGAGGTGGGGGGGTCAGTCTTCATCACTAGAATCTGAATCCTCAGATGAGGACGACGTACTGTCTGATCCCGAGGAAGCGTCAGCTTTCTCTGAACCCTCGTCTGTGCTGTTCTCGTTGCGAGAGCTAGGCTCTGTTCCCCTTGCGTCTTCTTGATCTTGAACCCGAGAATGTTCCTCCTTTTCTTCTGTAGGCTTCGCGAAGCCTGTGCCATTGTTTTCATTGTTCTGTACATCAAAAATATTCGATTGGGATAAAGCTGGGATATGGAGATTAAGGCCTGGAGTGAGAAGCATCCCTGGATAAAGTATATTGGACAACAGTAAGGGGTTAAGAGCTAAGGGACTGGCAGCTGCAGCCGACGATGTAGAAGGAGACCCAGACACAGAGTTTTCTCCACCGTTGGGCGTGTTCTGGCTTTCTGTCCTCTCTTTTTTCGGATCAGGCTCTCTGGAGTCATTTCCCTTTTTCTCCTCAGAAACAGATTCTGTCGATTTTGTTAGGAGTCCTCCCATTCCTAGCAAATTTGGTAAGCCAGCCATTCCTGAAAGCAGCATGGGAAATACAGCAGCCATGTTTTTCCCCTCTCCAGCAGTGCTCAGGCCCGCGGGCATCCCCATTAAGCCTGCTGTCACTTGTAAGGACTGAAAATTTTGCAGGTTTTGCTGTAAGGCCTGGAGAGTTGACAGATCCACTCCTGGGAGTAGCCCATTGGCTAGCAAAGGGTTGACTGGTATGTTTGCTGCTGTGACAGAAGCAGCTGCCGCCTTGGCCGTCTCACTTTTAGGCCTTCTCCCCCTCCGGCTCACTTCTTCTCGTACAACAGGCCCTGTGAGAATACGGTCAAACATGCTTTCTGGAAGAAATCCCTGAAACAGAGGGGGAGGAAAAAAAAAAACAATACAATCATTTAAGAGGCATGCCTATATTTCTTTAAAGCATTTTTACCACATCTTTCTCCTTAAATAGGACCTAAAGTGGTTTACATCACTGAAAGACAATATTTAAAGCTAAGAACAATGAGTAGTAAAGAGGCAGCTTACATCATTAAAAGACAATGCAGTATTAAAGATAAAACAATATGTAATGAAACATTAAAAAGGAACAAATAGCACTCTAAGAGGTGGTAAACACCAGTACAGTGGTGCCTCGACTCATGACCATAATCCGTTCCAGAAGATGGACGTAACTCAAAATAGTCGTAAGTCAAAGCACCATTTCCCATAGGAATGCATTGAAATGCAATTAATCTGTTCCGTCCGAAGAAAAAAATCACAAAAAAAATCACTGCAAGACTCATAATGCAACCAATCCCTTCCAGCCGAGGGGGGGGGAGAAAAGCAATCAGGCGTGCAAGACCCATCGGAAATGCATAGAAAACAAATGGAGCAGATCAGAAATGCACAGAGAACAAAGGGACCAGGTCAGAAATGCAAAGAGAACAAAGGAAAAAGCAGGGGAAGCATGCAAGACCATCGGAAATGGTGAACCCCCCAAAAAGCAACCAAGCCCCCCAGGACCCATCAGAAATGGGGGGAACCACCCAAAAACAAATAAGCCTCCACGACCCATCGGAAGTGGGAAAAAACACTCCAAAAAGCAACCAAACCCCCCAGGACCCATCAGAAATGGGGGGAAACCCCCAAAAAACAAACAGCCCTCCATGACCCATCGGAAATGGGAAAAAAACACTCCAAAAGCAACCAAACCCCCCAAGACCCATCAGAAATGGGGGGGGGGAACCCAACAAACAAATAACCCCCCCCAATACCCATCACAGCACAGAAACATAACCTCCCCAGCACAAAACCATGCTGTAAAAACACCCAGAACAGTTTTTAAAAAGCAGAGAACAGCACCTTACCTTACCAGGCAGCCTCCTCCGATCCCACACTCTCTAACTGCTGGGGTGAAAGAGCTACAAAGAAGCAGCCTTGTCGCCACCTACAGTTAGAAATTTGAATTTCCCATCTTTTTTCCCTGCCTTTTTCTGTTCTTAAGTGGAAGCTCCAGTCGCAAGTAGAAGCAAAATTTTGCGGCCGGAGCTGGTCATAACTCGAAATCGTCGTAGTTAGGGATGTTCGTAAATCGAGGCACTACTGTAGTACTAACACCACTGTAGTACTAAAGGCCCAATCAGAATAGCATAGCATACATATTTGAACAATGTCAATGTAAAGTACTATCATTCAAGTTCAATTATCTGCAAATATTCACTTTTGATAGATTTTGAACTGGAACAAGCAATCGAATCTGAAAGACATAAACTCAGCTTAGATATTTCTTTTGTTTTAAACCACACATGGAGATTTATGTAATTATAAGACAGGCCCTCTGTCTCTCTTATGGGCACTGTCTCAGTTTTCAGATTTTCCAAATTGTTTCCAAAATGCTTAAAACAACAACATCCTCATGATTTGAAGCTAGCCTTCCAGCTTTGGAAAAATGGAGCATCAAGTGACTATCACACAAACAGGCCTGCTTACAGGTACTTACAGATTGTTTTACAACATCGGCCCATTCAGGAGCGACTCCATATTCAGAATTCTCTTTCAGGAATCTGCACAGATCTTTCAGTGGGGGAGCAAACGCACCTCCTACCTAAAACATAAGAAACAAAAAAAGCATTTATCAGCTCATTTCATGGACTGAACACTCAGTTTACATACACAGCTAAGGAACATAAGCTATCAACTGGTTTTTAGATGTACTCAATGTAAACTGGTTTAAGTATACAGTACACTGGTTTTAGTATTCAGTTTATAGTTATGCTGGCAAAATAGGGCACACTGAGATAATACAGTAGGACCCCCTTATCCACGGGATTAATATCCACTGATTCACTTATCCACAGTCTGAAAATATTAAAAGTATTAAAACAAACAAACAAATAAAATCCGAAAAAAAACAAGACCCTATTTTCACATCTCTTACCAAAACTGGCAACTAGAGGGAGCCAGAGATTGTGTTATGAATACTTGTTAATGAAGACTACATAGCATGATCTCTGGTACTTCCAAGTAGCCAGTTTTGGTAATGGATGTGAAACTATTTTTTTTCTGGTTGTTTCCCATTTACCATGCTATAGATAATGTTTTCTATTATTCACAGTTTTCAGTATCCATGGAACCAGTCCCCAGCAGATATGGGAGCCCTACAGTACTCTCTGAGCAACAAAAATGACAGTACTCACCTTTCTAGCATTTCTCCTATTGATCAGTTGAACACGTTCTTCCCCCGTAAGGCTATTAATGTCCAGCTTATTAGGATTGCGGCACCGGTGCCTTTTTTGTTTGGGTCTCCCCTCGTGAAGCTGCATTTTCTATATCAGGAATTGATTTTTTTTTAAAAAAAGTAATTTTTAAATATTATTAAGACGACTTACAAATTACATATCCATGCTTCCAAGATCGCAATATTAGGCACATGAACCTACAATGAAATCCCATTCAATTCAATGGGATTAGGACTTACATCTGGGCATACACTTTGCAATATATTATTTTGCATTATATCTCACAATGCTTTCAACACTGTCAGACAATGCTAAAATTTTCAGCATATATAAGGCAAAAGCGATCGCATTGCGATGTTTCCTATGCGTTTTTTTCGCTTTGCGATGATCGGTTCCCTGTTTTGCTTACCGATCATCGCAAAGCGATGATTTTTTAACAGCTGATTGGCGGTTCCAAAATGGCCGCCGGGTAAAAAAAATGGCTGCCCGCTGTGTTTTCGCAC